CCCCAAAACCCCAAAACCCCAAAACCCCGTCATCTTATTATAGAAGTTGTATATGTGTAGTAATGAAACACATATAAAATGGAATAAAACGATTAAATGATTAACTATGAAGAGCTCATCAATGCCATCAATAATCAACCCACTTCCGATGAAAACGAAGAGCAAAACAACTTGATGATTGAATCTCAGAATAACCAGGACTAGAACTTTGATAATAATATTGAGAATAGCCAGGAGTCTCTAGATAATTTGTTTGGTGAAGATGAGGATATGATCATAGATGAGGAAAACTATGAGGATTATACTATTGATAGAGAAGATGAAGATGACGAAGGCGACAGTGTTAACCAATAACCCTGCTTTAGTGAACCTAACTAATAGGACGATACCTAAATCTTGGAATAAGCAAAGCCAAACTAGTTTATTCAGTCTTAAGCAGGCATTATAGATTTCAAGCCTGGCCTTATTCAATTTGAGAATTCTAAGAGCGAGAAGTAAGGTGGAAAATTCACTCAGAGGAAACTCATGAAAGCTATTAATGTGAATGCTTATTAAGAGGGAATCAAGAGGTTTGTATCGAGATACTTACCGCCATAGAAAAGTAAGAGCGATGAAATATTTGAGAAGTCATAACTTAAAAGACTAATACTCCAATTCGAATATAACTGCTAATCAGTTTAACATTAATACATCAAAGATGATAAAATAGCAAGTGATATATCTAAACAAAGATATTCAAGACAGTGCCCTATTAAAGACTGGTAAACTTACTCAAAATCCCATATAGAATTACTCTTATTTTGATAGCTAGAAATATATCTAAGTTTAGGAAAAATATATTTCTAGCTTTGAATTCCCCAATAGCTAGTTTAATGAAAATAACAGTTTGGGTTATTACAACTTATTCAGTAAAAAGAATGCTGAGTACCTAAAGGAGGAACCAGTTCCATTAGTAATAGGAATGGATACTTTGACAAATTTATAAAAGCTTAAAACACAAAGACAAAACATGTAGAATTTCCGCAAAAATATTAGTCTTACAAGGAAATAGCAGCCTGATAAAAGTAACTAAACAGAAGTGTCTCCTGACAGAGCAAATGAATTAAGTCAAAGCTTACCTATGTACCTTAAGCAGACTGAAAGTATTAAGATGAAAGTTATTAAGAGACAAAAGAACTATTCAGTAAGCTACAATTAAAGCCTGCCTCCATAGCCATTAGCGACGAACATTATGATTGCAGAGTTTGAATAAGATAACAAGGATTTTAAAGAATATCAGAATAGTAATCACCAGAATAGTAATCACAAGTATAATGCAAGTAGCTCTAGCCATGGACACAATTTATTTCCCATTCGTGATAGTAATTAGCACTAGATAATCTAGGATTATCATTTGCATAAGAAAATGAATCATAAAAAGTAGTAAGTTAAGTTCTTGAATTAATACAAAGTTCAAAATATAATGCATAAGATGAAAATGAATGCTTCTATTTAGCATCAGCAAAATCATAGAGTACTACCAAATATCAAGCCATAAGGAGAAAGTAATAGGCAATTTAATCATAATCATACTTAATCAATTAATAGCAAAAATCAGAGCAATTTGAATGAAAATTCATTCAACCAAGATTAGCCAAATAGAGTATTGCTATCTCAAATAGATCATTAATTGCCTTAAAACGAGCTTGATACTGATTAAGCGATTGAGGAATTACAAGAATTTTCTTTGGAATAGCATATTCAGAGACAGAAAGCAGAAAGTTTGAGATTTCTATAAGACCTAAATAGGATTAAAATCAGTAATCAAGGTAAGGATAATTAAGTATTATAAATATTAAGGTAGGTTTTCACAACTTGAAAAACTTCAAACATCTGGATAAAGCGCCCTTTTTCCTGGATGAGAGTAAAACTCAAACATGATAGATTTAAAAACAATTCAAAAGCAGCAATCGCCATATGAGAATCAAAGAAAACATAACATGTAGCTATCTCAAAGATCTCTCGGACTTGGAGTGGTAAGGAATCGAATCCAATCAACTTAATAAGGGAGAAATATTGCCATCAGTTCAGCACTTAGCACAAAGTATCTGCCCTCAGGAAGAATAGGATCCAAGAGACACCCAGATGATGATGATGATTCAGCAATAAATCTTAAGTGAAGCAACTTCCAGAGAAAGTCCTTTTAGGAAACGTCCCCTGTTCACATAGGATCAACTTTTGTGTTTAATTAAGGAATCTTATCCTTCTGTGAAAATACGTACCAAAATTAACAGATCGGAGGAGGAGATGCTTCTATTTCAGAGCAACAATAATACTAACATTTTCAATAACACCAGCAATGCTAATTGCAACAGTAGCAACTCAACTTCGAGAGGACCCAACTGGTAAACATAAAAAAGCTCATTTCAAAACTCCCTGGTGTATCAGGAAAATGGGCAAACTAGACAAAACTAGAAGCTGTCAACCAGATTATAAGGAGATCCTTAATTAACAGGAAACTAAGCTCAAAATTCTATAACTTAAAAGGATAAAATGAAGGAGAGGGGTGCGGAACACTGAGCAGAAACATTCTAATTGATGAAAGCAGAGGCGGAATATCGAGAAAAGCTTGCAGCCTAGATTACTATGGAGCGTAGGCGCATAAAGGTCTCTCGACTTAACAGCCACCACTATGTGCCAACCTCTCAACTCACGAGTCCGCACTCAAATCTTAACCGCATTAACTACTTATTCCAGCATCACTTCGATTAGAGATCAATTAGAAATAGAGCTCCCCCTCAGCGGATAAAGAAAACTAGCATATTGAGAGAGAACAGCACAGAAAGAATGGGCATTTCGGATCAAAGCTCGACATAATTGGCTGCTAAGCCTCAATCAAGAGAAAGAGGCAGAAAAGGACTCAATATAACTAGCACCAATACTAATAACAATAGCATTTAGCAGAACCATTAAAATTTGAGCAGAATGAAAAACTATCTGCATAGTCCCTTGAATAATAACTTGCACTAATAAAGTCTGAATTAAATGCCCGTGCATCCCTCAAACTAGCAAGCAAGTCTAAACAGGAACCAGACAGGTAGATATCAAGAGATGTAGATCTAAGAGGTGTATAAGGATTCCTTGAAAAATCAGTAGAATCCTTATAGATTTGATTAATCAACTTCAATAAAGGATTCAAGAAATGAAGCAAGTGAAGAAGAGCTCTTCAATTTCTTAGTGTGAAATATACAATAATCAAGTTAATCTTAAATCATAACTCCAAATAATCATAATTATTATAGTCAGAGTTTGAATGTTCCCTTCAACCATTAGTCTTTAGTGTCTTATCTAAATTTATGCAAAAGTGGTGGTTAAGAGGGATCCATTGTAACATAGTTTGGAATAAAATTAGTATTATTGTTTATAGAAGCTTTTCCAAAGCTAGTTTTGAAATCCTGTGGCACAATGCTCTTCTATTTAATTTCTCTGTCTCTTTTTCTTGTTTACTCCTCTTCGCACCCAACATAAGGAGATGATATTCTGATGATAGGCTATACATTAGTGTTATTTATTATTGAATTAATATTTCTCACCTTTTCTATGTCGTATTAAGGGAGCTATTGAAATTCTTTGAATCTGTTGAAAACTCTTCTACTAGGAGTTTGATTTGTGACATTCCTTGATATCAACGAATTCTAGGATTTAGAAGCAGATAGAAGGCCCTAAATTTAATAAATGAATTTTAATTTACTTGTTTAGTGGTCATATCACGATCTTCAGGTAAGAATTCTTCACATAATGTAGGATGTAGCATCTATCTTAATTCTTTCTGATTTTTCCAGAGATACTACTCAGCATCACTTTTGAGTTAAGACTAAAACTCTTTCTCAATTTAATAGTTCCTCAAATGTCTTAAAGTGCTCCTAGGTTTTTCCTATACTTTAGATAGATTCGCTTTTAAATTTGTGATGTTAACATTAGTGCTGGTATTCGATTATTAAATAGTGTTGAAACTGTTATTTCTCATTAGTTAGGTGCTACTCACAGCTGTTGTATTAGTGTTGTTTTCATTTATATTCGTCGAAAATTGCTATTCTAGAGGATTTTAGTTAAATGTTACTCTCAGATTACTCTTAGCACTGCCAACTCTGGAAAGCCCACCCTTCCTTGGAATAGCTGAAATGGGTCTCATTGAACCTTGGAAAATAATACTAGCTGAATCATATTCAGTTTGAAAATTGATTTTTTCTTAAGGTCTATTCTAATAGCTTGCGAAAAAACTTTTCTAATCGAATAAGGCAGGTGTAGATGAAGATTACTAGAGAGTCTAGTTTGATGGCTGAGCAGTACTATTATTATTTTGCATTGTCCTTGTGAGTGATTTATTTTCCTTTTAATGCTATGATCTCATTTAGATCTAGATTAATTCTTTTCTAGTTTACTCTCTTAACGTTGGAGCTAGAATTGGAATTTAACTTACTGCATTATTATCGACGATAACAGCACCTCATCTTTTCGAATATCCCATACCCGAATGCTAAAATTCTTTTGTAAATTTCAAAGTCGCTGTTTAAGGTCTGACTACCTTCTTCTCTATCTTTGAGTTTGTTTTTATTGTTCCACTAAGATCTAACAAACTATCTAAGATATCTAAGCTTTAATCGTTCTGAGCTATTTTATTCCCTGATGTAATAGGAGGCTGCATTTAATTTGAATATAAAACCTGCCTCTACCTGAGATAAGCTTAGTCTAATGTAAAATCAATCTTCCCCTGAGATTGGAATAATCCTAGCTTGATAATTATGAAGTTTTATAGGACTGTTAAACTCTCTTTATATTTTCTATCGATATGAAACTATACTGCAACTGTATTCATATGCTAAACTATCTAAGGTCCTCTTTCTGACTCAGCCAGTGTATCATAGTTAGTTTGTATTTATTAGATATTGGTGATATTAACTGGATGAGGATCCCATGAATTATGATTGTCTACTACGAACTCTTAGGGTAATTGTTAGAGAAGTGGATGTGAAATGTACTGTTTCTTTATACTGCATTTTACATCTGTCAACTTTGAGAAAAACAGCTATGGCTTATTGAAGTTATTCTTCTCTGTATAGGTAGATACCTTTTTAATAAGATCTCCTCCAGTTAGACCACCATGTGATGCCATTGCTCTTGAATAGTGCAATCCTACATTTCCCACTGGCTTCCATTCATTCTTTTCTCTTTCATACTAGTAGTAATCTCCAGTGAGATTATCTAAAAATACTTGATTCTTTTCCAATGTTGGCAATATTTTAGAATTCATGTCTTGAATGCCAGAAAGAGCTCCTCCCTTTTCATTATTGTTAAGGACTTTTAGCTATGCGAAGTTAGTAGCGCAGAAATAGATTAGCATCTACATTCCAAATCCAGCAGCAAATAGACATTTATTGGTAATTTTGCACATTTTAAATAGCCTGGAGAGCTATTAGTTTGTTAAATTGGAACAATAAATTACCTTATCACATTTTTTTTACCAAGGTAGTAAACTGCCATCTCCATCTACGAATACAATGTCAATGTAATCAAACAGCTAAAATGATTTATAGTTTAAGTTTTACCTTTTCTGATTCTTTATTGGAATAAACTGTATTCGGCTAATAAAGGTAGTCGTCCAGATTGTTTCTATCTCTTATCACAACTTCAGGTAAATCAATCAGAGACTATTTTTGCTTTTTAAACATCTATATTCAATCTAAGTAATTTGAAAGCCTACCTCCTTAATGATTGCAACGAATTCTTCAAACCTTTTAATGCCGTTGTAATTTGAAGAATATCCATTAACTATTAGAATTTTCATATGCTTCTTTTACTCTATATTTCTTTATCTTAATTATAATAATTCAGATTTTTAAATTATTCTCCTTCAGGGGTTTTGGGGTTTTGGGGTTTTGGGG